TGTTTGTATAGATATAGACATATATTTATATATGTTTATTTATAAAGTTGTTTGGTTTCCTTGTATATGACGGTTTAAATAGGTGAGGGTGAGGGATCTAGATTTTATATCTTTGGCTCAACAAATGAAAGTCCTTGAAGAACGTTTAATGTACTTTTTCATTTTGTTTTGCAAGGATCTTCTTTGTTTGATATTCCATTTTGGCTCAAGGACTTTCATGTGTATTCTTACGTTTTTTGGTGTCCCTCCCTCCCTAACCTTTTTTCTTATGTCTCTCTTCGATTAATATTCGGCGTGGGTTTAGTTTCACCCTATTTCACATGGGGAAAATCCCAATACCTTGCGGCGTCAGTTGTCGCAACACTCCAGTCAGAATCAACCTGACTTATTTCATCCAGTCGGCAGGATGAGAAATCACTAATGAGACAATCACTCTCATGCATTTGGAAGATCTTGGAAAGGGTCACCATTTTCCAAGGACCCTTATGTTTCCAACACGTCCTGAATAGCAGGAACACTCGGTGAGTCTTATCACGTTTGTTTTTTGTGTTGCTTTGAGAGCATGTGATTTTTCCATGCTTGTGTGGTGTGACGTTCACATTTTAATCTCTCACTGGTTTTTCTGTGATTGGTTTTCTGGACTCACTGACGTGGGTTATCTCTCCTTAGGGGACCATATTTTATTGGCCTCAACCTACTCTCAACTGGAGGGGGTACTTGAGCCATCAGGTCAAATGGTTCAACTTGGAATTAAACGCGTTGAATCAGATCAATCAGTCATCCAGCAGATGAAAAAAGAGGGAAGCGATTCAACATGTTTCAGAGAGACTGACGTTTGACATGTCTCCGCTCGGATGTGCGGATGTTTTTACTATATGTGTTTTTGTATAGGTGTTTGTATAGATATAGACATATATTTATATATGTTTATTTATAAAGTTGTTTGGTTTCCTTGTATATGACGGTTTAAATAGGTGAGGGTGAGGGATCTAGATTTTATATCTTTGGCTCAACAAATGAAAGTCCAGCATCCGACGTTGCATCCGCCTGATGTCCAGATCCCATGGACTCTTCCGACATAGCCAGTTGCCATTAGATACAACCGTAGTGACTCCACTCATTTCCAATTGCTGGAAAATCTCACTTGGTAATAGGGGGTAGATTGGCGTTATTATCCATCAAATGTCAATAGTTTTAATTTTAATTGGGGGGAAATGCAGTCCATTGACATAGATGGATTTGAGTTAACCAGAAAACACTGGTTTGACATGGCATCAAACTATCCAGCAATGCGGAAAAAAGAAATTGAATTCAAGAGCGAGGGATTAAGTGGAAAGGGGATTGGAACTGAAACTGTTTACTAAAGTTTTGTAATAATTTGAAAAACCCTATAATGCATATAACATAAATCAGGATTCTGGGGCCTGGGTGTTAATTTTCGTGGTTTCCTGGGTGTTAAAACGGGGTTTTCAATGGTGCATGATTCATATAAAAATGGGGTTTAGTCAATATTATTCACTCATGGTGTTTTATATATTGGTGATTATATGATGATTATATGAATATGTTCAGTGGTGTTTTTTGTTTTTCCTTGAGTCTCCAAGGCATGGTGTTTTATTTATATAGGTGTTATAAATGATTATATGATGATTACATGGGTATGTTCAGTGGTGTTTCTTGTCTCCCAGGGCATGCTAGGGCTGGTTCATAAGATCTGTAATTACGATTTAAGTCGACGTCACGATGTCACCCCAAAATTAACGAGGCAGAATTTCGAAATTGATGGGATATGTAACGTGTACATAAAGTACCTGACCCTACCTGTGCCCGATCCCGCTTGCTCGCAAAATGTGCATGGTTGACAACGAGCTGTTTGAGGCGCGACCGGGTGAGAGGGGAGAGATGAAAAGGATGTTGGAAAGAGAGTTGAAAGTGCTTGGGGTTGCTGAAAGGGCAGTGAAGAAAATCACATGCACACTACAATGTGTTTCCTCGGCATGGCTTTCTGGCTTCCAATTCTTTTCTATCTTGGGAGGGCGCGGTGGAAAACCGCACCAAGCTTAGGGACGAAGAAAACAAGACGGTCCTATGCCTTGAAAATAGGAACAGGTCCGTGTTGTGCTGGGCCTTGCCGTTGCCAGAAACAGGGATAGCTGTTCCGGCTACGCTGGTTTCTGGCCTTGCTTGCTTTCCACGGGGCCGCCGCACCCAGGAAACACAAAAACGCGTGTAGATGAGCGATCTACGCGATTGGGGATAGCTGTTCCGGCTACTTTATGCGGTCTTGGTTGCTTCATGCGGGGCTGCTCTCTCTCTCTCTCTCCCCCTCCCTCTCTCTCTCTCTCTCCATTTCTCTTTTTCTAAATCTTGCTCTTTCTCTCCAACAGTGCATGAACCTACTTACGAGATCTCTACCTAGGTAATTATTAATTATTAGTGGATTTAAAGCACGGAAAATGGGATCATGATACTTACGGATGGATTTATGTACGTACTACTTGGACATATTATATAAAATTATATTTTTTTTTACGTATTGCACACTTATATACATAACATATTTTTATATATGCGTATTTATATATATATATATTGGCCACCAAACAAACGCCGACCCTCAAAACCACTATGTTTGTCATTAGCTATGCATGCTGCCAGGCAAAGTATGTTCAACGACCTCAGCCTGGACAACGACGTCACACTAATTTCGTTTTTAAGACGACCTCACTTAATTTTAACTTTGAAGTTTTGGAAATTGGAAATAATAAGGTATGACCCAAGAAATAACTTAAATTGGTCAGATAAGATCCGCTGGTGGCAAAGGTGTTTGTCAATGTTTCTGTGGTTCATTGATTCATAATATTTTTTTCCGGGGGGGATGAGCTGAGAGGAATGATGGCCCTTTCCCAAGGGCGCGAAACAAATCACATAGCTTGGCCGTTTGCATGGCCATGCTGGTTCGAAGTGCTGCAAATGTCAGGCACCGCTCACTTAACTATCTTAACTATTTTTTGATCTTTCAACACTTCAGCAAGGTGTATTCTGGGTGCACTAATTTGATCACAGTGGTGTAGATAAAAGTTTGCTCCGATCTCTCAACCCTACATATTTTTTTGACAAACAGTGATGGCAGAGGGCTACAATCCCCATTCTCTGAGCTGACATGGAAAGATTTGAAAGATCCCAGTTGGAACAAACCACCAACTGTATCTCTGCATTTGGCCATCCGCCAGTTGCACGACGGGCCATGCCGTTGTCATCCCTTTACCGTGCTGATGCACCTGAGCCTGCGGGGGGATTGCGTGACCTGTATGCTTCGTTGGATGGGCCGCCAAGGCTGCATTTTATGCCAAAAACCACACGCACCTGTTTCCACAAGGAAATTGTAAAAAGGTGAGAGAATACATATCATATAAAACCATACTTAGACTGAGACTTATATTTATTGATACTTTTACAGAACATCATAAAAATTATTCAGCATTCAGAATTCACTATTCACCAAGCTTTGTGAATTCTTCGGAAGGTGCTCACGGTCTAGATCACGCTCACGGAGCGTCAGTTCTTCCGAGAATGGTGGTGACGCTCCCGGTTTTCTGGCGTGGGCAACTGCCTTTCTGGAATGTGTGGGCCTCTGCACTGGTCATTTTCAGACCTCCTTGGGTGATGACCGCCTGGCATCTTGCCCGCATGTTGGGGGTCAGGGAAAATGGGATTTGGGGTTCTTTGGAAGATTAGGCTGAAATGCATTCTGTATTGTAAAGTTCTTTTCTCTTGAAAAGCAGGCAGGCATGGTAGGCCACCAGATCGCGGAGTTGTGAAGTTGTTCAACAAGTCATTGGCCAAACTGAAAGATTCTGGCCCACAGCACTGCGTAGCTGTAGCCTGGCGCGTTGTTGGAGGCGGCGCTTCTTGCTTGTAGTGCCATGGTGGTTACAATTTATCTGGACACTGGATCCTCAGATGAAGAGTGTGACGATGACGATGTCATCATGGTTGTTCATCCTGATTCTGATCCTCTGCGCAGTGTAGACCTAGTAGAACTAGAACCAGGTGCTCAGGGTGGTGACTGCTCGCAATCATCAGATCCTTCGCGCAATGTAGACCTAGTAGAACCAGAACCAGGTTCTCAGGGTGGTGACTTCTCCTCGCAGTCATCAGATCCTTCGCACAATGTAGACCTAGTAGAACCAGAACCAGGTGCTCAGGGTGGTGACTTCTCGTCATCATCATCAGATCCTTCGTACACTGTTGACCTAGTAGAACCAGAACCAGGTGCTCAGGGTGGTGACTTCTCGTCTGTGAATAGCCAGATAAGCGATGACTTGGAAATGCAAAGTGATTCAAACATTTCAGAGCAGTCCTGGCGTTCAGCGTGGGACCGTGGTGCTACGGAAATTGAGCGTGGGATGCTTCCTGATCCTACCTGGGGAATTCCTCCAAGCCAGCCACCTGATGGTGGAGGGCCGCACTTGCCAGGAGTGACGGACAGAGAGGTCATCACGGTTTTTTTTTGAGCACACACTGCATGTGGAAATGCGGTTCAATCCCGGAATGAGGTATGGCATTCCCAACACACAAGTTCGATCTTCCCACTGGTCATTGGTGCACTGCAACTTTTGATGTACAAACTCAAACTTGTTGTTTGAGTCATAGAGTCTCTAGAGTCATACAGTCATACAATTCAATTGTCTCATTTTGATTTGCGCCTTCCACTTCTTGATGTTGAAAGGCGGCTGATGTTGAGATTTGAGATAGCTTAGCTTCCAACACGGAACCGGGGTCAATATCTCTCAGTATACAGAAGTATACAATGAGACGAGGTCATTTGCTCTGCCACTTTAGGAAAACAACCGCCAATCACGCCTTTCGTGAGGGAGGGGCTGTGTCTAGTGATGTCGGATGCAGATGGTAGTTTCAGGTAGTTTCAGGATGTAACTTGCAAACTGGTTTGTTTTCTCTGGTGATTTCAAGATTTCCTTAGTGAGGATGATGCAATGATGCAGTTGTTTCCTTCGGCTCTTCAATTTTCCGAACAGTTGTTTCCTTCGGCTCTTCAATTTTCCGAACGGCGATTTTACACATGCAGCCACCCTTCCCATGCTCAGGTAGTTGGAACCGCTTGTTCTGGATCTGGCGCGCCATGCCACGCTTTGGCACAGCTGGTTGGGGATGCAAACTACAAGGAGCTGTTCGCCAGTGAGATCCATGCACCTTGGGTCCATGACTAGATTTTGGGCTAATTTGGCTTGATGTGATTGGTATCTCATACTCGTATCATAATAACCATAACTTAAAAAATAAATAACAATATTATATCATATTGAATTGTATTATATTTTATTTTATTGTATTGTATTATATTATTTAAAAAACATATTGTATTATATTATATTACATTATATTATTTTATGTTGTATATTATATTATATATTTCAATGTGGATCAAAATCGACAGGATGATATGATTCGATGTCGGCGATAGGTTTTTGATGGTGGTGTTATGTGATCTGACGTGCTTTGTTGTACAGGTCATGTTGTGCAGGTAGCAGATATAGGCTGCCATCCACATCACTAGTTACATTACTGATGACACGTGGATTTTTCACTTCAGCTTCAGCTCATCTATAATTTATAATTCGTGGCCAGAAATCTTATCTGAATCTTGCTGCATCGGACGGCTGATTGAGGCAGGGGCGAGGACCTTCCTGTTGGAGAACTACAACATCGAGCACCTGTATCACAACATGCTCTCGGCTAGGAAGCTAAGCTTGACTGCTGAGTATTCTTCTTATCTGGTCTCTCATTGATTATCTCTCTATAAGCTTATTTCTCTGCAAAAACTCATCGAATTGCTGTGGGTGGGCTTGGGCGGGTTTCTTCTTTGAAGCTGACTAGGTGGTACTACTGTGGACAGATTGAAACTATTGACTATAAATTAAAACGTTATAACTTATACTTAAAACACTTTCTAATTATACAATACACTAAAAATTATAATATGATTCTTTAATTCTTTGTCTTTAATATATCATTAAATTACACGTGTTCAAAAATTTAGGCATGTTTTGATCAACAGTACAGTTTTGGTGACAGTTTGAAGCATTACAGTTGCAAACCAACGAATTGATATGATACTGTTTCATTACAATATCAGCTAAGCTATGGATATTTATCTACACCGGCGTTTAGATGTCAGTAAATCTTTGGATGCAGTCTTTGTGTCTCAGGACTGGCGGAGCTTGTGCAGTACACCGTGAAGAATGCCCTCCAGTGCATGAATTTCACCAGGACTCGCATGGGGAAGTGGGTGTGGTAGCGGATGGAAAACACAGACCTTACATTCTTACTCTTACAGTAATCAGTGATTGACTGATTGAACATAAAATATTGCCACTCTCATTCTCACTATCTATTGACAACTAGATACACATCTGACATGAGATTGGCAATGTGCACACCTGATTCATAATTTGTGCGCGCATGCGTTGCCATTTCTTCCACACCAACTGTCCTGCCGCCATGCCAGGAGCCAGTGGATATATATATATATCTCTGGATTCACTTGCAAACTCTTCTCGCAGGAGAGTTCGACAAGATATGCAGATGGGAATGTCAAAAACCTCTTCAGTTCCAAAGACCCAAAGGTAGTAACTAAGAATGCGAGTTGCAGATTCTTTTTTTGTTTTTCGTTTGGAGAACTGGAGAACTCTGGAGAACACATATCATATGATGTGTCTACAACATCTGAGCCTGATGTATTTGTCTGTCTTAGCCAAGGCAGCCAAAGCACTTCCTTTCATCGAGTCGTCACGATGGATTCGTGCAAACTCACCAAAGAAAACCAGTTGCAATACGTTTCCTTTCACATTGCGTTATTATGTTTTTCTTTGGCGGGTGTGCTGTGGCGGGTGTGCTGCGCCCGCTCAGGATTGCAATCCTGGAGAATGTCATGGGCATGACCAAACGAGCGGCGAAAACGTCGTCCTCAGCGGGATTTAAGGCCCGGGCATGGGCAAGCAGGTGATGACATGAAATGACAGATGACACAATCATATCATGAATTAGGTGAGGGGGATGATGACAGATGATGACTGATAGGTGATAGATGATAGATGATTGAGAGATGATAGATGAATAATGGATGATATTCTATATTTTATATTGATAATTTATAATGATAGACAGATGATAGATGGCGCTAGGTAATACTGTAGGTGACTCCCAGGTGATGATTCAAACTGCTCCAGCTGCAGAGGACTTGATGGTTCAAATTTCACACAGATTCCAATGGCAAATTGCCTGTTGACGTTGACTGCAGAAGTAGCAGTAGCAGCAGTAGTAGTAGTAGGCTAAAGGCTGTAATTTATTTTTTTGTGATAGTTGGGTTTTTTGAGCCATTTGATTTGACATCTGAAGCGAATAGCTTTTAGTTAAGTGTAGTCTGAAGTACATCAAGAACTCGGACGCGTGTAGCTGAAGCAATGAGGGCATTGTACCGAAGTAGCAGGGGCTCTGTGCAGTCCAAGGCCAGCAGTGCTTCAGTCCAAGCGCCTGGTGCGCCTAGTTGTCAAGAGGACAGTCTCTGTTTTTTTCCTAGTTTGACTTGGCCATGGGCGGGGATTTTTTTTGACTCATAGTAGTTAGTCAGACATGCCATGTCACCACATCGTAACAGTGCCATGACACATGTCCTTGCGTGACTGCTATCCTGTCAATCTATCAGCTACTCAGCTACTACTTCAAACTTCAAACCCACAATATTATTAAGTCACTTCACTTCAACTTGATGTAAACTGAGACGAAATACGATACTGCAGCCACATCATATTGAACCCGTAGCAGCAGCATATTACCTCTAAAAACATGGCAGTTCAGAGTTTCCAAGAGCTGCCTGATTACTTCTCTTGCGCAGGAGTCGCAGGAGGTTGTCGCCATTCCAGAAAAGCGGGCAGAGCGATCGTCAGAAACTTTTTCTCGGGGCCGTGCGCATGCAGCTTTCTGCCGCAATAGTTGGGCTTCCCGTCAGGTCGATACTGCCCAGAAGGTATCAAATCTGAAATTGGACCCTGCCCAGAACTTGGTGAAGGCTGTATTTAGCAGGTGGCTTCGTGGGAAACATATATATCTCAAGTACAAATGCCCAGTTCCTAGGCTCCGCGAAGATGAAATCTGAAATGTTTTTCTCCCTTTGCGTTCTCATCACCCCAATCAGCACACATTTTCACATGAGGGCCTTTTGTTTTGGATACCACCTTGCGCAATTGAGGGATGCTTTCAGCTTCATTACGGCACCGAACGGCCAGTTGTCCTGGTACAAGACATGTGTCAGAGTGAAGACCAATGTAAACAGGGCAAAAGACTTTGTGGTCGGTTGCCATTTGAAGGCACAACTCCAGCAGATTCCAACGTGGTTGACAACAAAACAAGGATTGCCTTCACATGTGGTCCTGAATAGGGTCATTGACGTCACAAACGTGTGGACAATGCCAGAACCTGGTGGTGGTCAGAGTGATGATGACGATGATGATGACAATGCCGACAATGCTACTACTGAGGGAGGGTTTAAAGTCAGCAGAAAGATCAAATCCAAGGCTAAGGTTGCACCAGCAATGGGGTTCATTCAGCGACTATGTGCTCGGTTTTCTGGGGAAGCTGTTCCACAGTGCGTGCGCATACATGTGCCTTTTCAACTGTTGCCAAAGGCCTTGTGATTGAAGGGGTTCTGTCCAACTCAGAGGTATGACGTGGACACATAAGCAAAAGGTGATAGGATGATATGATAGTCATAATGATTTTGACCCTGCTAGGCGAACGCAGGGACTTTGTATTCTCGTATATGTCGATGGTCCATCTTTTCACCAGAAGGGACAGGGCATGCTTTTGGTGGGACGGACGGACAGATTGATTCAATTTTCCGAGATGAGAACATCCCTTTGAAAGCAATCGTCACATGCATCTTAGCCTACTAATCTTATCTTCAACCCTCAAGAATTTCTACATTGATTTTCTGGGAGCATTTAATGTAAGTTTCGAACTTCTTATTCTCCTGGACTTGTGTTAGGAGTCAGGGTTTTGTTCGTTCCCTCGCCCAAAGCTAAGGTACCGATTCGATACCTACAAACGTATCAGTAGCTGCAATGGAACAAAAGCAGTATTTGGACAATGGCCTATCTGAGAAAGGGGTTTGTCTTCTGTACAGCTTCTGCCAACACCATCAAGGTGCATTGTGCAAGAAACCTGTGATCTTGAAGTTTCCTGGTTTGGCCACAGGATTGGGTTGATGATGTGTCAAGAATTATTTTCCTTCTCTTTCTTTCTTTTGCAACTCTTATGGACTTATGAATGAGTTTATCGTCACGGTCCTGGCATTGTTTTTTGCAACATAAGATGATAAGATGTTATGAAAAGACTGGACTACAAGTTGAAAGCAGTACAAAGCACAACCAGCCCGACGACCCATCAGACTCTTTATTGCAGTGACTCAGTGACAGTAACCTTTTAACCATGTGACATCAGTCCACCATTATCACTCCCTCTCCAGGACTGGTCAGAATGGCGCACGCGTGTCGATCCAGCTTGTTCCAGCACCGGCTGGAATCCGCCATTGACTCTATAGCAGATTCTGTAGTCCGATACACTGTCTTGGAATTGCCCCTCAAAGTACGACTGTGGAAGAATGCGAACGCCCACAAGCTGGGCATTTGCAACTCTGATCTGTCTGAAGAATCAGTAGAAATGATTTTGTCAGTGCTGAATGACGACTGGTCTGTTCCTTTGAGAGAACGTTCAGGGAAGCTGAACCATTATTGCCCTCCTGGCTGTTGCGCATCAGATAAAGTTTGTCAAATGAAGACCCGGGAGGCCTTGAAAGCTACTGTGGGGAAGTTCTTTGATGTTCCGTTGCTTTATCGTTGGAAGCATTTCGATCCAGCAGTTCAATTCACCCTCAGAAATCTCTTGATCCACCAGATTCTCATGGTTGTTTGGGAGGCCACCATGAACAAGGTGTTTGATGAAGGCGCCATTGATTTGACTTCATTTGTTGATGCAGATTCTGCAGACCTTGCCCCTGCCATGAAACAAAAAATCCGGATGGGAAAGGTTTGGCAAATGCTTTCTGAGGATGGTATTTTGGTGACTTGGCTTGGCCCTGGGATGGTAGTCAGGGAGGGTTTGTTTAGTCATAGTTTGACATTTCTTTTTGAAGTTTTAGCTTGTGCCACAACAAACTGAGTTAAGGCAAAGTTGGCAGGGGCCGTGGTTTTGACCCGGCCAATTTCCAACTACATGGATCAGCTCTCATTCTTGGAGACTATACGGGAAAGAGTTCGTTTCCAGATGCAAGGCATTCTTCCAGATACCAGTTTGTGTCAGGTAACACCAGATGAGCTGATCGAGAAAAACGCCCGTGTCTTTACAGGCCACGCAGGTTTGGATGTTCTCCATGAGTACTTCAATCTTTTGCAACTTCCTGGGGACATGTTGTGGTCCTCAGAGCTTGGTCTAAAGCAAGATGAGTGTCTACCGATTGTCACCATGGCCATGTCAGACTGTTGGCGCCGATTGGTGTCACCATTCTGTGGAATGCCCTGGTCCGTATTTGGCGTGGTGGGTATGGATGCTGAAGACGGAATACCTTTTCTACAAAAAACTGGTTTGGAAGCTGGCCCATGTGAAAGATGCCAAGACCATTTCTTCGGGAGGGTTTCTCAATCAAATGTTTGAAGTCCGTTTTTGAGAAATGATTTCCATCAATATTGTCATTATATATCATGGACAATGGGTTAATTTGCGTCATTGGTTTCCGTTTAAGTTTAATTTAAGTTATGTTATGTTGTGAGTCGCAACGGCCTGCACCTAGGTCATTATTGAATATGTCTTGCAGGGGCGTGGTGGTGATGTTTTTTCACGTTTCGGGAGGGCCAAGCAGTTTCTCAAAGATATACTTCTTGAATTGCCTGCTTCATCTGTTGAAGTTGAGAAGGCACATGCCAACCTCCAACATGATATCCACACTTACTGCTCGAATGCCAAGACCCCGCGCATCATTCAGCGAGATTCCTACATCATGTCGGCTGTGTTGGCACACCAATCTTTCAAGGAGTCGGTGGAGAAGACTTGTCTTGGAAAGGCCAAGGGCAAAATTGGACGTCTGCTCAGGGAAAGAACTGAAGAACGTGCAGAGTTGTTGCTATCATTGGGTAAGCCCAAGACTTCCAGGAAATCGGCAAAGAACAGCTTATTGAAAGGTCTGTTGTCAGCTGGCTTGAAACTTCATGATATCATTGTCTTTTCTTTGTGTCAGTTCGACTATATTCGATTTGTGATGATTTGTGTTTCCCCTTAGACTTTGACTTAGACTGTCTCCTCCGACTCCTCCTTTACACCTGCCCTGTTTGTATTCGGTCTATCTATAGTCCTGAGGTCGAATGGACGTGGTGGCAAGGTCCGAAAGCATAGCCAGAAATCAAGGAGCTTGTCTGCTTTCAACGTCTTTGCCCAGAAATTCAGGACCGGTGCTAGTTTTGGGTGCCCATACTGTATCTCTCAATTTTGCGTTGTCAGGGCCATGGCCATAAATCATTGGTATATGAATGATATAGATATATATGATGATTATATGATATAAAGAAAAATGTCACATCACTATTTACCAACTTTCAACTTTCAGCTTTTTTCCTCGGGTCCGCGGGGACCCGATGAAAAAAAAAAACATGTTTTTTCTGGGAGATCACCTGCTGAAAAAGACTATAATTTCACTTAATATTTAGGAATCATGATTATATTATATATTGTATATCATACAAGCTTCATATTATCATCGATCATCGATAGAAGAAGTTCGCTGGTTACAAAAGTTGGAAGTTCGAAGGTAAGGGGGTTCTGATTCGGTTCTGATTCTGATCCTCGAAAGGTAGCAGCAAGTACTTGCCATCTTCAGTGACAAGTTCCCATAAACTGTGAAAATGTTCTTCAATTTCATCCTGTTTTTTTTTGGAA